GTTTCGTGTTTTGAACCACATGTTTTGGCACAGTATTTCGTTCGCTCGCATAGTGCCGATTTCTACGGATCAATAATTTTCTGTCATTTTTCTGCTTCCTGCAAATATGCTGTATGCTTGTGATCCAAAGTGTCTTTTTGCATTATACTGTTTTACGTGTCACATCATGATTGAAAAATGCGTTTTTTGCGTTCGGTTTCGTATAGAAAACGGAGCACTTATGACTCTAGCTGCTGTGCGATCATTGGGGATTTTCCTGGTGCCAAGTATTATAACCAGTTTTTTTATTTCGTTGTACAATAGTCTAATTGATCAAAACTTCGTTATTTCGAACATTGCTCCTATCTAAGTATTTTCGTCCCAGTCAGCGTAACTCGCGGACAACGTATCTGTCCTCGATCGGTTCGTCAGCATAGCTATTGTTCATCTGCTTCCTGAACAGAACGGTCATCATCCTTCTCGTCATCGTTTTGCATGGAANCATCGTTTTGCATGGAAATACAATAGACCGAATCCTGTTGCTCGCTGCCAATTTCACCTTTGGTTTGATGCAAATACTAATATGCGAAGTTCCAATGAGGGTGGCGCTGTGTGCGTGCGTGTGTGTGTGTGTGTGTGGAAGGCAAAAACAAGTCCGGGAGTATGTTGACACCCAAAGCACAGCAAATTTGCATGTGAATATGTTCAAACAGTACGATTATGATTAGATTTTGTTCACATCCTTTACTGGATCGTTCCGATCAATAAAACTGCAATGCTTTGTCCGGTGTTTTTGTTATCTTAGTTTGTTTTAACAATGGATTGCTGGAGGTTGATTGATGATTCAACTGTTAAACCTCTTTGGGTATCCGCGGTCACCCACTGGAGCAAGTGGTCGATCTCCATAGATTACGTTGGTTGGGATATGTGTTACGCGTGTCACCAGATAGGTAGGTTACCACGGCGAGCGCTGTTCGCCGAATCAGATACCGAGTGAAAAAAGGCCAAGGATGGTCAAGCTAAGACCTGGCACGAGGGACTGAAAACATTAAACAAGAGTCTGGGTCACATGGGACCTGTTAGGCTCCCTGGTTGGGGACCTCGGGATGATCGTTAGTTAGAGACACTGAGTGATATGGTAGGGTGTCGCAAACAGTGGCGTTCATGCATCTTCTCAATTTCTTTGCAACCTTGGACCACTGAACTTCTCCATTTTCTTTTCGACTCCACTTTCAAGTTTCCTTTCTTCTCTTATTCTTCATCCAAATGGGTAGCCATAAGACAACAACCAAAACCGGCGCACGAATATGCGTGGTTAATGGTTGTACAAACTGAAAACATTCTAATCAAATTTATTGGGGTAGATTACAACCGGTAGTCATTTTCAAATTGAACTTTCTTTGTAACGATTTCTTGTGGCAACACCAGACGAGCAGTCCTTTTTGTGTTTGCATATGACCAATAGTTTGATCTTGCATTTCGATTGGCTTTGCCAGCGTGAGGTGTTTCGTTGTATGGTTGAAATTTGTACTCTGTTAAAAACCCAAAAATTCATGTGTGGTCCTATCCAACTCCCAGTTTGATGACCTTTGCCCACCAGATCGGAACTTGCTCGTTGAATATTACTTATCGTGACCCTTTCTTCGTTCAACCTGCTACTGTAATCTATTATCTCCACCCCACATGGAAACTGTTTCGTGATAATTGTCGTAATTATCATCCTATAATCGAAATCTATTATCTCCCTCCCACATTGAACTGTGTCGTAGTAACTGTCGTCACTCGTTCTACGCTCTCTACGCTCTATCCATTATCGTTATCAAGTATCTCGACCCGGCATAGAAACTGCCTCGAGTTATTGTGGTCACTTGTTCATCATCCACCCGCTATGATTATCCTACCGTCTTCATCGTTTCTCGCAATCAGTTATTTCTTGACATATGCTGCCGCCCGCCTTGTGTGTTTAATCACCCCAGACACCCTCATTGTGTTCGTTATCTATTCTCTCAATTACACCGTGATTACGGTTGCCATTTTTCGCCCCCCACCCATCCGTTTTTGGTTTCACCGCGCTATCCCATCCCTGTGATTGGTCTTCACCGCCCTTTAAACAGCACTGTCGCTACATCCACTTCGCATTCCTCCTCCGATTTCCAAGAGAGTTTTTTCCTGGCACGTTTGCCCAAACCGATTGTTTTGTCCAGACCGGGTTGCTCCTAATTTGAGGTATTCTGTTATATTTCGATTAATTCATGATTGATTATGCAATAGTACACGTAGGTTTCCCAGCCTTGTGTTCTGACGCGAATTCGGGGGTTCGGTATCTGCGAGTCACTTTATCATCGGACGTCAATCCGGTACAGTCAGTCACCTGCTTGTTTATGATAATACGTTTACTAATTTGTATGTGATTTGTAGTTCCTGTGCACGGTGACAACCTTACTTAGTTAAATCTCTCCTGTCAGTTTCTTTCTGAAAGTGAGATTTTTATTAACTGTTTTAATTCTGCACCAATGGATCATCAGCTTTTTGGAATGTGAACGCCACTTTTCATGAATACTCTGTCACAGGTACCTACAAAGACTGGTCCGTAATTAAGTATCCTGTTAATTTTTAACGTGTGTGGTGCTTGCCAATTTGACTGTAAGACCTTTTCAAGTGTGCGATTGGTTATCGATAGACTCAGGAAAGAGCATGACTAAGGGATATACAAACAAAACTGAACTTAAATGTTCTCTGTTGGTAAATCACGAACAAATTTGGCTGCAAAAGTTTCTGGTACTCGCGGAAAACACATATGATGGTAATGACTTCGGGACAGTTGTATTGAATATAATAATTAATAATAAATGTGTTTATTTCCTTTTTTGTTTATTGATTATAGAAATGTGCAATAAATTTTCAGCCAGGAGGTTGCAGCCATACAAAGCTTGTCGGAGAAAAAGGCAGATAAAAGGGATGCACGCCGAACTATGATGATTTTTCTTCAACATTCTTAATGAAAGAGTTCGCAGAAGTTGCGGCAAAATAAGATCGCAATATTTTAGCGTGTTCTTAAGTTCATAGCTTCTGCATGAGTAAATGGACTGTGGGTTGTTCATTTAAAGATGCACCATCAACCAGAAAGATATTCTCATAGGGTTTGTAAGATGATATGCACACCACTCTGTGTCGTATATAAATTTATCTGTGCTAAAAGCCAGTGATTTTATTGAATCATTAAGAAATCGTTGTTGAACGCTCTTGCTGGGCCAAAAGTGATTGTCGCTGGCGCTTTAATATTGTAATGAGTTCTCCATTTCCCTTCGCCAAATGCTGTTATGGGCTGGACTTGGGATGACACAACAAAACCGAGTGTTGTATAACTTATTCACTGAACAAATGAGTGTAGCGAGCTTAACTAGCATAAATCACGCCATGGACCGATGAACATCAAGCAATAAAACAGTGAATGATTATCACTTGTATAACAATCGAATATTATTGATGTTTTCTGTGGTATGCGTACGCGTGCTGGCGTTTGCACATGTGTGAATTGTAACCTGGTGAAATAGATAGACTACTGGAAAAAGTTATCACCCCGTGTGTAACAAGATGTACACAACTCACCCGGAATCAGCTACTATGACCTTACGGCCTTTTTGGGATTCAAATACTTCAGTCTTCAATCTATGGGCATTTGAAAAATCGTCTCATCTGATTTTGCGTACACTATGTATCGACTCTGGAACAACTTCATTGTGAGAAGGAATGTGCCTCCAGTCTGAGAAACATTGTATTGCTCACCATCTTCTATGCATATGTGCACTCTGCTTGGTAGAAAGTGCAGTCACAAGATCTGATTATCTCTTTTGTTTATTTCCGGTTTCCATTCACGACCTAACTGTTGTGTATGTCGAGGTAATCCAAGTTGGCATTCAATCCCTCATTGTGTTCGGTAAAAGCGGTCTATAGCTAGTCACCCAAGGAGCCTAGTTTGCTCCAACTGAAATAAACTGGATTGACTCAGCTGAATACCACCAAGGCAAGATACCCTGATCCTATTTTC